GAGCAAGTGATCGTGCGGATGCCTTTTTCTGCGGCACCATTCCAGCTTGAGAAACAAGGTGTGGATGCATGTCTTTACGTTGGTCGTGGACACTCTGTGCGGTTTTTGCGTGCGAAAGCTCTGCAGTCACAATAAATACAAACAACACTGGCCGTGATTCTCTCTTTTTCCCAAGCTGGAATTCAAATGAACGCACCGACTGGTGCATCAAGCAGCGGGCATCATAGCATGGCTTCGTTGTCGAGAACTGCTGAAGTTCCTTCGTGGAAGCATGCCCGATTGCCTTTACCACTCCTACTCCATGCAGATTGACTCCAAATAATGGTTTGGCGTTAAGCATTATGTAGCAGCTGCAATCATCGCATGCACTTGCAGCAGATGTATTCCTGGTAGTGATAGTGGTAGCAGGAAGCGATAGCGTCGTAGTAGTCGTCGTCGTCGTCGTCGTCGTCCTAGTCGCAGCCGTTGTGTTGCGGCGGTGGTGCGTGTCGCTGTCGTCGTATTAGTCGGAGCAGCAGCAGCAGCAACAGCAGCAGCAGCAGCACAGGTAATAGTTGTCGTTATGGTCGTAGCCGCGACAGTATCAACAGTTGCAGTAGCTTGATGGACACTTCGAGTAGAAAACACATGCGTAGCCTGAGGATGCCAAGCTTTTCAGCATTGCGAGCTGTGCAACACATCGCGTTGCTGGTTACCACTGGGCAGTTTTCAATACAAAAACCTCGGACACAGGTTCTTGGTTGGGGGAGGGACGGATCAGAACTGATATCTACTAAACATTTCGGAGTTGAAGGACCCCGAGATGATTCTGATTTCGGTGTTCAAACTGTCTAGGTCTAGGTCATGAGGGTCTATGGTTTTGTGGCTGAGGTCCTGCGTGCTCAGCGCTTAGAGATAATGGAGAGCGGATCGCGCAGATCAGACGCGAGGAGACAAAATGAAGCAGAAGCCAAAGCTCAGATTGAGATGTGCGATTTAGGTTCATGGACTTCAATACTGTCACATAAGAGAGGTACTTCGGGAGCGTCTACTCACACCGACATCCTTTCTCAACCGGGCCGCCGATGTGATTCCCACACATAAAAACTGCGATGGTTGCCAGGCACATCCCTACTCTCCTTAGCCGAAGCCCCATCCGCAAGCAACAGACTTCAGCCCTTCCTCAAAAATCAAATCAGAACTGAACCAAAACCCCAAAGCAAAACCCACACAGATTTCATTCATACCCAATAAAGGCGTGCCTACACCCGAAAGAATAAACAACCGCATATCCTGGTTGTCGCTAGCTTAGGGCTCCCAGATATGATTCATCAGCCTCGACCTGGCTTTAGGCTTTTGGGATGTTAAGGTCTACAGTTTGTTCTTTCGGGCCTTTTCCCTTAAGCCTTTGTATCAAATATCATTGCCGCAAACAGGAAACAGCATGAGCAAGAGAAGTAGCAGCAGCGGTGTAGCGGCCTTCATCACCGCGACAGTAGTGTTGGCCACAACCGTTGTAGCAAAGACTGTAAAATTCGCCATGGCAAGAGCAGCTGCAGTCAGCATAACTGCAAGCAACATAGCAACACAAAGCATGCACATGCAGTCACGACAAGTACTCGTGACGACAACCGCAACAACACTGACAACAACAGCAGACAAGTCGTTGATATGAACAGCAATCGAACTTAGTGCTCTGTCGGATAGACAAGTCGGGTTAGTAGTTCCATAAAACTACAATAGAGCATGCGCTGCAGCATCACTTTTACAATGTGCATAGTCCTGCCATTATACGTGTCGTCCAAGCACGCAATACTCGTTGCACGCAGAATTTTGACTTGCGAACTGAATGCGGGTTCTCCAGTCCTTGGCTAATTCTGTACCACCTTTTAGCTGTTCCTGATACGTTCCATTTCGATGCACTAAGTATGGCATAAGAGAGCAAACCCCAAGAGAAACGAGTGCCTCAAAAAAAAACTGTCGTCTAGAACCATCTCCCTTTGCATGCTCTCCTCGTCGTGTCTGCATTGGGCTCACAAGAGCGAGCTAGACAGCTGAAGTCAAGCTTGGGTAGAGAGCGAAAGCATCGCTTGCGCCCAGCTCCCTGCGAATCTGGGAAGCAAGCAGGGGCTCCATTGATTTCACGTCTTGAGTTTCGGGGTAATATATGGGGATTTCTCCTGATAAGTATACTACAAGGGCCCCAAAACCCTACTCTAGTTACCAGGGCCCCCACATTAACTACAACGGAGGCTCCACCTCGAGGCCCCGGCCCCTAAAGCTTTAAAAATGGAACCTGGAGTCTGGAGTGCCGAAATTCATTCAGCCATGCGAAGATTAATGAAGCGCCTAGGCCGAAAAGGCTCCGATCTCCGTCACAGCGGTTACAAGTCTAAAGGCCTTAAACGCCCCTAGACCCGCAATCTATCCCCAAAAATTCCCGAAACCCGGATGCAAAATCACCCGCAAGATCGGCCCCTGGCCGCCCCGTGAACCCCCGGAAATCCGGACAGCTCAGGCGGATTGGTTTAGCTCCGCCTGGAGGAGGCCCCGGGCCGGGCCAGGGTTCCCAAACTGTCGGGGCTTCGATGCTTCTTCGAGGCTTTTGGAAGTCTTCAGTGGTCTTTTGGAGGCTGTGTTTTTGGGCATCAAGCTTTTGAGCTTTGGGGCCTTAGGGTCTTAGGATTCTCACGTGTGTTCTTCCACGTGTCCACGGTTTGGGGAAGCTGTGTCGAAAAGTGGTGAGGCTCTATATATACAAAGCGTGCAGCCCAAAGCTCCGAGGGCACAGCCGCGCCACCACTGTCAATCATCCGATTGCTGTTCAAACGGACCCAAACGCCAAAACCTTAAGAGTCCGCCGCTGAGCCCGGAATACCCCGGAAACCCCTTTAGTCTGCCGAGTCTGCAAGATGGCTCCGCCGCAGCCGCGTAGAGCAACGCCCATTCGGTTGTCTTTTCGATGGGCTCTCGGGATCGGGGTTTAAGGCCCGGGGTTTGGGGCATAGGGAGAGCCAAGGGGAGGGTGCCGATAGGACCTTCGGATGTCTTGGACCTACGAGGGCCCTTTGCGTTTGGGGCTTCACAAGAAGCTCCCATGTTCGATTGCCGACATCCACCTCAATCCTCAGGGCTTCCGAGAGTTTTCTTGCGGAGTGTTGGGCTTCCTTCGGTTTGGGACTGCTGGCATAATGTGCCGGCTTCAGTTCTTCTGGCTCCGGATCTTGGGTTTCGGGCCTTTGCATTGCGGTTTTCAGGCTCCGTGATCTCCGCTGAACCCAAGACCCCCGTGCAGGAAGCAAAGCTGATATGGACGGCAAGGAAGCCAAAAGGCCGGCTTCTACTTCCATTCAGCTTGGAGAGTTTTCCAGTAAAGCCTTCGCCGAAGTAGAACGTGAAGATTGACTTGGCAGCGCCTGTTTCTCATTGCTCGTCCGATGTTCTCTCCGAAGCCTCTTTTCCCTGCATGTCTTTATGCAGGCACGTGTCCTTCAGTGACGCGCACGACAAGAAAGCGCAGGAGCTGGGCCACCGGGTGTCAGTTTGTCGGGTTCGTGAGTTGCGAGCTGAGGAATTGGGATGCAGGAGTTAGGATGTCGACATTGACTTCCGGATAGGGTTTAGGCCTCCTTTCATACAAAGGGTTACGGGGTGCAACTAACGACGGATGGCTTACTTACCAGCACGTTTTCGGTGTCGTTTCACGCACACTCGAACTTGCCATTCTGCACTGTTGGAGAAGACAGGCCGCAGGAACAAGGTCGTCCGAGGGGGAGCCGCGGGCACAGGCTAGCGAATGAGGGTGTTTAGGGCCTGCAGGCTTTAGGGCCGAGGGCCCACTGCAGTGGATCTGTATTCCGGTTGCCTGAGGCCGGAAGACCGGCCCTCCAAAGCCCCAAGCCCAAGAGCCCTAGGCCTCTCCAGGGCTCAGACGCATGCCCGTGCTATCCGAGCATTTTTTTCCAGCCAGGACGACAACAAGCTGGAGCCTCGAAGTCGGGACAATTACAGGTTCAGTGGCTTCCAGGTACTGTAGGAGCAATGTAGGAGCTTGCTTTGCATCGTTGCATGCAAGGACCCTATCTTATATACCCTGAAAAAGTTTTCATTTCCACCGCTAAACTCTAAGTCCATAGCAGGGCCTCCGAGTTGGGTGTCAAGAGGTTTCTTTTTGTGATTTGGCGCATAGGGTTTGAGGTGCTGGTACCGGATGCTTGAGGAGATTTTCTTGTTGCTGCAAAGGCATTAGATACAGTGCCGAATTTCAGCTTCGTGAGCATGGTCTTGCGCGACTTTGCACACGGGCAAGCTACCTTTTTTTGCGAGGAGATCGTGGAAGCAAGTCAAAGTGGGAGTTCCAGAAACGAACGAGCACCAATAGAGCACTGTAAGTAGGGGATCGTTGTGGTTAATCAGAACCTTTAGGGTAACCTGTTCAGTAGCCTCCAAGTATCGCAAGGATCCATGGCTCAGCAATTCCTGAAGTCCGCTCCGCAAGTGCCTTCTGCCACGACGGGCACAGGGGACCTCCGGATCCCGAACAGATCACACGAGCAAAAGCAGCAAGAAGAAGAACAGCGATGGTGAAGCAGGAAACTTATGCCATGTAGACGCCGAAGCTGCACGACACCTGAGCACATGGCCACCAGCAGGAAGGATGTGCTGACTGCTGTGCCCTCCTTCCAAGTACCCGGCAAGACTGCCGACGTGTTCCGGGCCTTTCTGCGAAACCGCCTGCTCCACATTCCAGGCCCCGCAACTGCGGTTGGAATTTGAGCGGTCTGAAGATAGTGGAGCTCTGCAGAAGTTTGATTACCCCTTCTTTCGGGCTTGACTGCAGCAAGGCGCACCCAAAAGATGTCTAATTGAGTCTAATTCAGGGTTCTTGGCTGGCGTCTAAAGGGAAGCCTACCGTTGCAACATCTCGAAAATCCCCCTTCTGTTTCATCGCCTTATGAAGGCTGCTTATTAACAAGGGAACCAAGAGCTTCCTAAAGTGCCGAAGGGGCAACCCCGGCAAGGAAGTCGCACACCGGCTGCGGCACAGGCGAAACAGCTGCTGCAGGAGCGGCTGAGGGACTCAACGAGATCTCCGTCATCGTAATTGGTGTCTATTGGAGTTTGTGGGCTTTAGATCAGTGCAAGATCTTACGATTACGGTTTTCTGGCGAAATTATGGGTAGTTCCTTGCTCCTACACAAATACTCATGATACGGGCTTAAGTTCATGGTGAAGGGTGGAACTAAAGCGTGGGAAAGGGCGAGAGACGTAGCCAGCAGTCTCCAAAATTCCTTCGTATTCCGCGATGAGCTGGAGGAGTACATCTCGGGCATCTACAGAGACGTCGTTGCACAGAACTGGACCTCTGAAACATCTGGTGCCTCGCCAGAAGCTGCGAAGGACGGAAGCATCTGTTAGGAATCTGCAACCAGAAACTCAAGAAGGCTTGTTGCAAGATTAGCATTTAGCAGCCAAAACCCCTGTTTAAGCCTGTTCTTCGCTTGTCTTAGTCTGTCGTGCTTCAGGCTGAGCCCACTGGTGACGAAACAACTGCTACGTTCTGGAAGCTCTTTGACAAACATGTACTACGGTCGACACCACTCCTCTCAGAAAACCTCTGTTAACCATGGTACACACAGCAGCAACAAACAAGAGAAGCACGACTAAGATAAGTAAGCTAGTGTCCATTGCTTTTGTTCCGGACTCAGCAACCCCTTTCACCACCCTATTCATCGATTCAGTCGCTTCGGGAGTTGTGAACTCGAAACCACGACTGCAAGTCTTTGCGGGTTCGCGCGGTCGGCGCACAAAGTTCAAAGCATTCTCGGGCTCGCAGCACTTTGTTTGTGGAAGTAGCTCGCGTGGTGAAAGACACGGACGTGTAGAGGGCTTTTACCGCAGGAATCTTGCGAAACTTACCCCTGCAGGAGGCGTTGGCCAACTCCCGGGCACCTGGTGTCCAAAGGTGGTATGGCAGCTTCGTGGTAGACGGGGAGGTCGCGTTTTCGAGTTTGGAAGAAGACCAGACATAAACGTTTCAAGAGCAAGGGCGGCAGTATAGATATGATACCAGTTTGCATCAAGAAGAGTCCACCACAATTAGTCCCTGACGAGGCAGCAGAGGACCTCGTTGTCACGTTGGCCAGCTGCGGAGTGGAAACAAGCCCGGTCGAAATGTGGCTGCAGGTGGCACTGTAGGCTTCTACATTCATTTTTTGATTTGTATATCGGGTCGGATCAGCGAATCGAAACCGCCGGAGTCCTGGAAGCCATCGTTCTACTATTTTCAGCACTGGCATAGGTCCCTCAGCATATTCTTGCACATATGATTACGTGCCAATGAACCCAGTTGACAAACTAACTCTCGTGCTGCGGCTGAGTGTCCACACTGGAGCAACCCCTAGCAACGTCGCTGCCGGTAGTGCCGCTCGCACGAACGAGCAGAACGCCGAAACAGGCAATCTGTGGAACATTAATCTTTTGTTGGCAGCATCTAGCCCCCGCTAAGCCAATAAAAGCTTTGACAGGCCACATTGAAGCTCACGATCTGTTGACTGCTGTCAGTAAGGATGAGTGCAGACCTACTGGCACCGCATGGTGCTTCTTCGGGGCAAATGCTACCCCCATGGGTATGCAAGGAAAGCCAGAGCATGTGGACCAGCTAGCACCTGGAACCATCACTGTACACACCCAGCTTTGCGGAAGAAAAGTCTGGAAGCTCCGGCCGTATCTGCTGTGCCCGAATTGGTCCGGCGGAGCTCCTCTACTGTCGGCCTCCTGCTATGCCGGACGATTGGAGCTTCTCTGCGAGGTGCCTTGACAAATCTGGCGCATGCGAAATCAATGAACCAACGAAAAGCCAATGTTCCGAACTCCACCCGCGATCTGCCATACCCTTTGCAGTCACAGGGCCAAGTGTCCTCCAGAGCAGCCAGCAAACTCAGCCTGCACGTGTTAGCGACAATTTGCCCATCCTTCCAGACTCCCGAGGAGCAGGTTTAACGATCTTTTCACAAACAGACCCCTCGAGGAGGGCGACCTCCTCCTCATAGATACAGCGACCTGGTATCACACCACCGAGATCCCGGCGTTGACAGACTTTTCCTTCTCTTTGGCGCAGGATCCAGAGACTTCCAAACCCCTCTATTAGGTGTATGCCGTATCCCTTACTTGAGTCTCTGCGGACCTCGTATTGTCAGCAAAGCTTATTCCACCATAGGCGCTGTTGGAGTGGCTGGGAGATGTGACTGGGAGAGCTGCAAGACTGTCGCAATTGAAGTTGCTTCGTTCTTCGTAGATCGAGTTGGGTCGAGAGCATCTTGTGAGTGAAACTACAAACTAGCAAACTGAAGCAACCCTGAATCTTGACTGGACACGTGCAGAGGACTTTTCCGAACGCCTTCCGGGCGAAAAGCTGCAAGCAATGGAAGCAATACAGCCCTTCGGCCTGGGCAAACGAGGGTTTTTATTCCGACTCTGGAGCATTCTTGAGTGCGTTAGGTGGTGCTTTTTGTTGAGGCTTTTATCTTCATGCCTGACGAAATAGAAACAGGTTGCACATGGTACACGAAGTGGCTTTTTTTGCATCCGTCGGAGCTTTGGGCCTTCTCGTTACCGATGACCTCAAGAATCAAACACCCCAAATCGAAACTATCCGGACAAAGCTTTACACCCAAGGCTAAAGACAATGATCCTCCTTCCAAACCCTTCTCTGCACTCCTGGAAGACAGTCTGCCTAAGGTACCGAGTGGTGCATCAGCTTTGCCAGGACGTGTTGGCAAGGGTTCCCCCTCCCTCTTCAGATTTTCTGAGGGGCTCCGCGGACTTAGCAAGTAGGTTGCAGGTACGGTTATAAGCATCCTCACTGGAGCTACTCTGCGCGGTTTTAACCCTTCCCTGCTGACTGATTCCCTGATCCCTCGAGTAGGTTTTAGGGGGTCACTTGACATTTCCCCTTGGTTTTGTCGCGGCATGTTTCGGAGTCTTTCACAAGTCTCCTGGGTTTGGATCAATACTCCGTTACCCTGTATATCGTCATAGTAGAGCACATGCCGACACCTCTTCCAACTGTCACGGCCCCGGTACTGTACCTAAGAAAGCCCTTGTTTGTTACGATTTACCTATCGGCCAGGACTGCATGACCCCCACGACGCCACCTCCTGGTGCTCCGCCTGGCACTTGTGGCTGTCACTTGGTTTGCCTGTGGCTTGCGTTTAAACGTCCACGGTGCAGGGGGCGTGGGTTGTTTAGGCCAGGGGCTTTTGGGCTGTAGATCTCGGGGCTGAGGAATGTTTCTGATCTCCAGGTCTGTCCGGTCTTGGGCTTTTTCAGACTGGTCCCGGTTCTCCGGCATGAATGTTCCCGGAAGCCTGGGGTTCAATGCTGCATCTGTCGAAAGGACTTGAATGCAGGCACAGGCGCGCCTTCAATCCCTAAAACCTGGTTTTTCCAGATCTCAGGCCAGTGCTGCAGCCAAAAGCGGCTGGAAGCTTCGATGTTCCGCAGCTGCCGCCGGAGCGCGATGCTCACACAGCGCCTCGCCAACTCTTGGAGCCCATGTGAACATTGCCCCCGCGACACCTTGCATGTATATCTGTATGACCAAGCACTTCCGGGGACACAGCCAGGCATGGCGGGAGCTCCCGTCGTGCAAACCTGCTTTGAACAACCGGTTGTTGTTAGGCACACCCTTGAGCCCTAAACCAACATGGTTGCCGAAGAGCCAGAGAGCTTGTGCGACATGCGGAGCTAAGTATCACAACACGACCTGTGTATCCCTGTATGCATGCGTACATGACCAGGCACATCACCTTTGCCAAAGCAGATCAACTATGTGCGTTCTATTTGCTACCCCTTAAAAACCTCGAAGCACGGATATCCTGGACATCAAGTCCAAAACTTTGCGGCCTTAAATGTAGTGGTCCGAGTTGTCAAAGAGTAACTGTGGTGGCCTGAATAGCCAGACAGCTACATTGTCCCGAGTACAGTCCGTTCCTGCGTATAGTCCGTAGAATATGAGTGCAGAGGCGGCTCCTTCGCCGACTTCGCTTTGCTGCAACCGAGTCGCTGCTCTCGCGGCTTCGGCTTCCGCAGCCGGCGCTCTGCGACGACCCGACCAGGGGCCTGCTGAAAAGTAAGTGTTGATTGCTTGCTAAGGAACCTAGCTTAGACTAGCTTGATACTAAGGGATGCTGATGATTTACTGTAGATCCTTACGATGGTAATTTTCAGAAGAAACCAGCCAGGATGAGCTACAGAGCAGAGACTTTTTTCTGTGCACGGTCAGGCCCGCTTAGCATGTTTGGTTTAAGAGCCATGGCTACGGGGTTCTCGGGGTTAGGATCTACAGGTTTTCCGGGGAGGCTTTGCACAGACTCGAAACGAAGCCTGTCGTAGAAACTTCTGCAGAAGCCCATGCGAGCTACTGGGACGTGTGTACCAGCAGAAGCAACGAACCCGTTTTTTTCTTGCGGGTCGCGTTTCTGTTTGTGATCATGTTCTAAGGTTCTTCTGCTCGAAGGCGATGAAAGCTAAGTATACTTTACTTAGACATGTACACACGACTTCGTACAAGGAGCAACTGACCCCCCGCCCCATTAGAGGAAAGACCTAGAAAAAGCTCGCCTCCCCACCCCACCTGAGGCCTTCTGGGCCATCCATCCCCAAGGGCCCAGGGGATCGATGGAAGATCCCGCCCAACTACGAGGTCGCCCGGTGATGTACTCCAGTAAGGCTAGCAGTTGCAAGGTCATTGTGGGTTCCGGGTGGTATCATGACAAGCCTTCTTGCTGAGTTTGCGAAAGGGAGGGTATTAGAGCTGGTCTATGTGTGTGCCTGAGGGCTTTGAAGCTTCGTGCTCAGCCAGACAGGATGCCGTTCTCGGCATTGTGGTTTCTTGTCACAATGCGCCGGTAAATCGGCGGTAAATCGGATTTGAGACCACTGTGCTTTCTCAGGGCTTCAGAGATCTTCTGTTTCGGGGGCGAAGGGTTCAGAGGCCCGCCTTCGGTTCATCAGCTCCGGAGGGCTTTCCGGCTCGTTTGGGTGATAGGCCAGCGGCAGAAGCTTGAAACAACCAGCCTGCCCTGAACCCAAGTTTCGGGCGGCCTCCGTCCTCTTCCAGAAGGATTCCACTTGGGCAGAAGATGATAGGTATCTTTGTCATTCCCATAGTGAGGGTGACAATGGGGTGGTGTTGCTTTTCCTTCCTGTGTAGCCAACTTGCTTTGGGCATCCTGACGGCACCTGGAGGTCAAGCAGCTCATCGGCACAGGCTCCTATGGAAGCGTTTGTGAGGCAGGCACATTTGATCTTTCAGGGACATGTCCTCTATCATCGAACAGGCTGGCAGAGATCCGGAAGTCTTCCTCAAAAGCTTCACAAACTTGTTTGCCGTGCTTCGATCGAACAGAAGAATCCCACATCATCCCCAAGTATCAGCTTCAGTTCCCGGGCAAAGTCCCACTTTCCCCCAGGATACAGAATACTTGTCATAAGATTTGGAGCACCCGCTTGATGCTTTGGACTCCGGCATGCAAGTGAGAAAGGTGTTTCAACTCTTGGTGGAGAGGTTTAGGGCTTCGGACTTGTTGTCACCATCGGGGGACGTAATAAACAGGTCATGGTCGGAGGTCCTTGTCGGGATTACCCTGCTTCGAAACCTGCGTATGACATCGCTTAATCTTCGAAGCAGGTCGAGTTGAGGCTGCTTCCGATCTGCCAACAGGCCTTTGACACCAACAAGAAGCGGCTCGTGGCAATCAAGAGGACTTGGGACGGGGCAGAGTTGCCCGCAAAAAAGCCAGAGGCTTCTACTACCAGGAGCTCAGGTGATCCTACCCAGATGTGATGCGCTGAACCGCGCCAAGTGCTCCTTCTGGTGAAGTATAGCCACCCTACACGAATCCCGCAGTTCGGATAAGTCCTGGACAACAAATTCCAAAGGAGACGATCGGTATTGTTGACAATGGTTAGCATTACAGCCAGCCGTGTGGCCGTAGAAGTGGTCACTGTCGTTGACTACGTCGAAATATCGATATAGATAGATAGATAGATAGATAGATACATAGATACATAGTAAATATGTATATATATATATAGAGAG